TTCTTACCTTAGTCGATACTCAAAAGAAAAATATATTATGCTCAGTAAATCTAAATAAAAAAAAAAGTTTGGCCCCACCTGCTATAGAGTATAAGCCACATTTATACGATGTGTTGTTTAGTAATAAAAACTACTGCGTAGTTGCTAATGCACTGACCTGCTATGACTTGCATTTAATAGCATACCAAAACTCGATAAACATATATATATATATATACCTATTGTAGTCGTTCAGCCTATACAATGATATCCTCACTCCCTATGGCCTTCAAACTACATTCGTTTCCCATGCTGGAAAGAGTAGCGAGGACTACGTTTATATATGCCTACAATATAATATAGGTACCTATAATCAGTGGCGCCGAACACGTATAGTATAATATATAGTTGGGTAAATATCTCAGAACTGTTTTAAGTAATGGCTGAGTGGGTGGGTGGATGGGCAGGTGAGTGAGATAACTACTTGACATATTATAGGCAATTGGTATTATAATATAACATAGTGTAAATAGTATACAGAATTACAAAAACAGACATACAGTAATACGGTATACTTGCTTTATAAATAATTTACCAATTAACTAAGCTCAGTCGGAAAATTTCAGTGCTATGCAGTAGAAGTATGCACCGATGACCGATGTATACTAACAAACCTGGAGCAACAACCAATCATTCTATCACCATGCACCAAGTAATAATAAAATTATGATAGTAACACACAGACACGGGTGATTTACCAAATGTACCTATATTTAAACTATTTCGAACTATTGGAAACAAATTAGGTAGTTACGTAGAAGAAAAACAATATTTGAAATAAAAAAAAAAACGCTCTGCTGTACATTATGTGTCTTAATCACTGTAATGAATTAATGAATGTGTTAAATTTGAAATCTATATGATATAATTGACGTTTACAATTTTGTTATATTTATATAAATATAACATTTATAAGCTAGTTAATTTTCTCGGGCATTTGAAGTTCATATAATTTCAAATTCAAGGAAATATATACAATAATAATAATTATTGTCAACGTTTTAAGTAAAGTTCAAACTTTATAAAAAGTAAATAATAAAACTTTTTACACAGTGGGCAGTGTACACGAAAAACGATTCTGAGCGAAGACGGTCTATTAGCCTATAATATAAGGTGAGCAAGTGGATGTCGCTCTGATGTACAATAGGTAACAAGTGGGTCACTGTATAATGGATTGCCTTAAATTTGAATTCAATGATATAATGTCATTGTATACGAAAAACGATTCCGAACGGAGACGGTTTGTCAGTGTGGATATTTTACATTATGTTTATATCTTCTTGGTTATTTAATAATAAGTAATTTCGTCCAAATTTAAACATAAAATAACTATATAAAAAAACTTTGTTTTTATATTTTTGAGATTTTTCGGTTAGAGAATAACCTACATACGTGGATCCTTATTTTAAATTTTCTTTCCTTAGCTATAAAAGTTGAATATTTTATACATTTTTTACTACAAAATCATTTAAAATTAAAATTTGATTAATGTTGTCAAAAATCGATCCTTAAATGTTTATAAAAATGTATGTAGGTAATATATAATTTTATATATACATTTCAATTGCTATAACTATAATTGCTGTTACAATATATCAGGAACCTTGTATTAACTTTTCACGCTTTTTGACTCAAAAAATAAAAATATTGAAATTTAAAACTGTCCGTTACTAGTTCAAAACGAGTTAAAATATTTTCAACATTTAATGGTGTACATAAAATGAAAATATAAACATTCAGTCAAATTTTAATTTAACAACATACAACAAAATAAGAAAATCGCTTCACCAGAAATCGAGAAAATACAAAATGTTGTAAAAGTATAAACTTCAAACGCTCATAAAATTTTAATTTGACTTTATTGTAGACATTTTTTTTTTTTTTTGTGAATGGTAGAAAAACTTATGAGGAATATTGTATTACATTTTAAAATCTTAGATTTAAAAATAAAATTGTTTACGAATTTCTAACTCAAAATAATAGTTTTGGCAAAAACAAAATGTTTTTCTTTTATTTTGTTTTTGACGGTGCTTATTTAGCATAAGCTAATAAATTTAGCTAATTAATTAACTCTCAGTACATTATAGTAATACGCAGAATAGATTAGGGATGGCTCAAGTGCGTGGGCAAGGTCGATGGCCACATAATATAATTGACGCAAAATACCATCTGACATATTATTTCAATATAACAAATAAGCGGCCTTACGAAAGCAATTAACCGTAGGATAAAACTAATTCTAAAAAAAGTGCTCTGCTGTAAAGTAGGTTACAAGTGGGACAGTGTATAATGGATGGTATTAAATTTGAATTCAATGATATAATATCATTGTATAAGAAAAACGATTCTGAGCGAAAACGGTTAATCAGCCTATGATATTACGAAGTATATTTGATGATACTAAGGTGAATAAAGTAATTTATATATAACCCATTTACGTGGAATCTTGTTTTAAATTTTCAATTCTTAGCTATAAAAGTTGAACATTTTATAAATTTTTAACTACAAAATTATTATTAAATTTTAAATGTGATACATTTTGTCAAAATTTGAACTTTAAATGCTGTAGTAAGCGAGTTACTACGCAACATTTAAAGTTCCGACAGGTAACATATTTAACATAATATACTATAGATAGGTAACAATCAGATAGGTCAAATGGAAATAGGAATTGACTAGTTAACCTTCCATTGTGTTCTAATATAAAATAGTCAAACAAACCATTTGGAGTATAATGACCAAAGCGACAGGATAAACGAATTCACATTTTATTATATTATATTCAAATAATATACCACAGTAGATTATCACGACTTTAGAATCATATAGACAAGCGGATGTCATATTTTTCAATAGCACTAGATAGTAGATATGACGGGTATTCAAAATAAAAGAGTATAATGATTTATTATAATGAAATTGACAGTTCACGAATTAGCTGTCAGTACATTATAGTAATACGCAGAATAGATTAGGAATTTCGCAAGGGCGTAGTTAGGTCGATGGCCACATAGACCACATCCGTTAGAACATAGATACAGTATCACTAGGCAAGGGGAGCGGGGATCGTACTATAATAGGGACCCCGAAACGGCCTGTATTCAGACGTGTCCACTCATCGCTACTGCAACCACCTTCACGAGATTCTGTGTAATAATTGTTATTTGGACTTAGCACCATTTATGATTTACTGGAACATTTAAATAAACAACAGTATATTTTACAATTGTGTTCAAATTATTCAACTACTACCTCATTGTCATAATAAAACGGTCTATCTAAATGCAACGTTAATATACGAGTAGTCATCTGAACTACCAGTATATTACAATGCTTATAAAAAAAAATTGTGATTATGTATTTTTATTATTTTTGAACTCCTATTGTAACAATATATCAGGAGCTTTGCATTACATTTTCACGCTTTTTTACCCAACAAATAACATTTTATTGATATTTATAGAAAAAAAAACTAAAAAAGTTTAAAACTGAAAATGTCCGTAAACAGCTCAAAAAGAGTCAAAATATTTTAAAAATTGTATGGTGTATAGGAAATTCTAATAGCTGGTTAATGAGCCTTCGGAGAGATAATTTTTTGGAAAGGTGAGTGACAGGTAAAGAGGTTTAGCGACAGCTTGAAATTACAACGGGCATGATATGATCAAGGTTATTGACATACTGCCAGAGCGATGAAGTATTATAATAATATATACTTATATACACTCTTTTTAATGTAATGAAATATGCAGATGCACAGGACGTACAATCGTATCTGAGCGTGAGCCATAAGCATGTCCGGGAAGATCATATACATCAAGTCAAATCATATATTATTATATTCTGAACAATTAAAATTATTTCCGTTCCGATTATTCATCGACATCAATAGCTTAGTATATATGTATGAAATTTTAAAAATTTTAAAATTTTAAATATAAAAACTAATAACATCAATACATTAATTATTATATTAATAACATTAATTACAGTCTGCACCACATAAGAATCTATTATTCATTACATTTACCTACCTACTAAACAGGCACAAAAAATAAAAATAACACACTATTGTAGTAAGCGAGTTACTACGTAACAATTAAAGTCCCAACAGGTAACATATTTAGTATAGTATATTGTAGATAGGTAATAATCAGATACGTCAAATGGAAATAGAAAATAACTAGTTAACCTTCGATTATGTTTTAATACAAAATGATCGAACAGCCCATGGGAGGTATAGTACAAAATCAAAACGAAAGGATAAACAAATTTACAATTAATCAGATATTGACTCAAGGGGAAACGATATTCAATTATAATAACACAACAGATTGTCACGGCTTTACAATCATGTAGAATAGGTGGATGTGATATGGCAATACCGTTATTCAATATAAAAGAGTAGAATTATAATGAATAGATTGTGAATTTCGAAAGTGCGTGGGCTAGGTCGTCAGGTCGATCATAGGCGCAACTAGGGGGGTGCTAGGGGGACTTTAGCACCCCCAGACTAAAAATTAGCACCCCCAAAAATTCAAAGTCAAATCCTTGATTTGTAAGCTGTAGGTATTTCATTATTGTACCTACCTATTCTGTTCAAATTTTTATTTTAGAATAATTTATTTATATTTAATGTTTCGAAGATAGTTATATTAGATGACAACATAGTTTGTCATGAGGTCTACAATATAATATCATGATAGCCGATAGGTAAGGTATATTGCATTGGGAATTTGGTTGTGTTAATAGTTATTTTTAAACTGTTATATCTACGTAATCCGCTACCCGTATGTTTTCCATTATATGCGTTATCGTTATAAATTATAAATATAACTTATAACATTACACAACAGTCGACGAGACGACGACACACGTTATACAGACATACAGTACCCAAAACTTGAACTGCCAACAGGTAACAGTATTCCGTCTCCGTAAATCTGAATTGATAGGTATTTAAAATGTTTAGTATTTTTAAAAAACGGAAACCTAAAGCTGATATTGACGATCCTGGCATGGTTGACATTTCTACTAATAGTACTACTCATACAAGTGATACAACTCTTGATTTGGCCGATTTGGGAAATAAAGATTCCGGCCCATGTCGTCCTATACTTACAGTAAGATTTATTCTGTTTACATATAAAAACTTAATAATTCGTTTTATGAGTTTTTTTAAATAAATAAAATAAAATAATAATAATAAAACTATAATAAGGTGTTTTTCTGATTAATTTTATTATTATTTATTAATTAGGAATATAAAAAAGGAAAAGGAAAAATAAATAAAGAAGCTTTTCCTAACTTGTATAAGCTACTTCAAATTGCAATTACAATCCCAATAAGTTCTGCAACTTGTGAACGTAGTTTTTCTAGTATGAGACGTATCAAAAATTGGCTAAGAACAAGTATGTTGCAGCAGCGCTTTAGTGACTTGTCAATTTTAAATATTGAGAGGGATTTATCAAATAAAATACAAACGGAAACAGTGTTAGATAGATATAACACAAAAACCAGGAAAATTGTTTTAAAATAATAGATTATAATATGTTATCTAAAATCTAAATAGTTGTTATTAGTTATTGTAATTAATTATTAATTATAATGTTTTTAGTGATTGTTCCTTAATATTAATCATTATCAAAATATCAAATGTGTTATCATATAAATTAATATAAATATGAAGTTGAGTTATAAAAGCATGTTGTTAATAGCTTTGAAGTTGTGTGTTGGTGGGGGAAGCCCCCCACGGGTTACCAAGGTATACTAAATTTTAGCACCCCTTAAATTGCAGGTCTAGTTGCGCCTATGAGGTCGATAACCACATGGACCACATCCGTGAGAGCCGAGATACAGTATCACTAGGCAAGGAGAGCGGGGACCGGACTATAAGAGCGACCCCGAAATGGCCTGTATTCAGACGTGTCCACTCATCTCTACTGCAAGCACCTTCACGAGACTCTGTATAGTAATTGTCATTTGGACTTAGCACGATTTACTGGAAACATTTAAATAAAACCTAATTGTATTTCACACTTGTGTTCAATTTATTCAACCATTACCTCATCATCATCAACAAAACGGTCTAGCTAGGTACCTGCAACGTAAATATACGAGTAGTAACCTGGACTACCAGTATATTACACTATTGTACCATTAATAACTAATCATTCGTCGATCGCTTCACTCAGAATCTAAAACAAGAAATATGCACTTAAATTAGGCTTTGAATAATTAATGTACTTGATAAATCATAAACCCTTATAATATGTATTATAATAAATTGTAGTATTTATATATTTTATCTAAAATAAAAAAATTATATTTAAAAAATTTAGTGATGTGTCTCGTAAATTGACCGTCTAAAATTGGACTGGTAATTAAAATTAACCTTGTACGTTTTTTACCATTATAAAAATCGAGTCACCAATATTTGTGTTTTTTATTTATTATCAATGTAATAGGAATACTTATATGTCCTATAGGATTATAAAACAAATTGGGATTTTTATAAAATTATTTTGACCGATAAGTGATATGAATTATTGTGACAATTGTATATCACATTGCATCACATGGATATATGTTGCTTATATAATCGTCTAAGTATTAATACAACAATGACAACTAATTATTAATTTTAGTTTTATTTCTTGGTCACAATGGCCAATGTTTCACTTTTGAATTCAAATTCAAATTTTCATATATACCCGGGGTCAGGGCCCGGAATGGGCTACTGTTCTACAGCACAGTAGGCCGCGGTCAACGGTTGTGTAAAAAAAAAAATGCATGAATATTAATATCAATCTAATTATGCTTACAGGCGTATTACTAGTTGAACTTAGTAGGTAGCACCATATTATAATATATTAATATTATGTTCAATTTAAGATATGTGATTAAATGTTTTATGTCAATACCACGAATCAGTACAAATTTACTGATATATATATTATCGTATCCCGCATTTCCGCCAATGATGTTTTGTTGTTATGTATTTTCCTAATAATTATTAATTAATATTTACATTACTGATTTGTCAAACTCGAGCTGTCTACCTATATATTTTATCTACAACTTACAAGTAATTTATATAACTTTGAAAAATACAAGTGATTTGTATTCTGGGAAATACACTCTCCCACATAAATACCAATTTGATATGTAACTACTTTATTTTTAGAACAAATATTGATATATCCGTATTAATATTTTTAATAGTTTAATTTTAAATGTTAATACAATAATACATTGATAACAGTATTGATAAATGTGAAATGACAATGACAGGTTTCTTTATCAATTTTTCCATGTTTTCCTAGGCTCTGGGAAAAAAATGGTTTTTTCCGAAATTTTCCCGAATTTTCCCGGCATTTTGATCCCTAGTTTTATCCATGATGAAAAAGCTATATAATAAATTCCCGAGAGAACTGTCTGATTTATGTATTTAATTTACTTCATTAGCCTAATTTACACATGCCTACTTATTCTAATTTATATGCCGACATGGAATATGTAGGTACTTACCTTATCGGTAACTAAGGTAAAAGGGTGGCTATTATTTAAGGGGAACAATTTAGGCAATTTCTAATCTTGTCGTCGCCGCCCGTAATCTATGTGTTAGTCGTAAATGATTATTAGTGTGAAATTCGAAGAAATTCGAACTCGATAACAATAGATTTTATATCGCCCGGCTGCGGGCACACGGTTCAATAGCACACGTACGCGCATGCACAAGTCAACGTAATCACTCTCGAAAAATATTTTTGTACACTCACAACAGTGAAAAATGCTAATAAGCTGGCGAAAAATACACATACTTCTAGTAGTCCAATTTCAATTTTGAAAAATTATTTGAATTCGTCAGCCTCTTTTCTATGATTTGTAGGAAACCGATTTTGGATATTTTAGATAATTTACGTATATTACGGTTCCAAATGACTGCTTGATTTCTCAAATTTAACTTGCACTTTTAAGTGCTAACTAGACAAAAAGATGAAAAAGTTTTTCCTACAGATCATAGAAAAGAGGCTAACGAATCCAAATAAGTATTCAAAATTGAAATTGGACTACTAGAAGTATGTGTATTTTTCGCCAGCTTATTGGTCTAAATGCATGAAAAATCCAATCGTTTAGAGCCGCCTTAATTGTGAACGAGTAATTTAGCAAATTAAAAACTTACATTTTCTTTCTAATCAACATAAAAAAGTTCCTAATTCCTAATTCTTGTACTACTATATTATTGAGAAAAATATAATATTTTTTTAGTTTTTAAGTTGGGCCGATTATTGTAGGAAAATGGTGTACAGAAAAATTTTTCTATTTTCTGCTGAATATTAAGAAGTTCAGATCAACTCAAATTTCCAAGTGTTGTTTGTTGTTACGGGCATGAACTCCACGAATTCACGTCGAATAGATAGAAATATAGAATAACAACATACCATCGACGTATTGATCGATTAGTAGTTCGACCTCACACAATATAATATATTATATTTTAGGAAACTATACTAGTTAATCAATAAGTAATAACCGTCACTCAGGTGCACGTGTATAAGTACACACCAAGAATCCTTCTCATTTGGCGAATCTATAAGCTTTATACTATTAGTATAAGGTCTATAGGCTAAGACAAGTCAGCGTATACGACATTTACGCCCAAGAACATCATGTTTAATAAAATATTGTAAATGAATTTGACATGCCGTAGTAATGCAATATAATATGTTATAATATATTGCTACACGCAGCTGTGACCTATAGTATATTCCATATAAGGTAACATTTCGGCAAACTATTTAAAAACACACCTGGAAAAAACGAGAGGTCAGAACATAAATCATCATACGAGGCGGCAGTTTCAATCACTGTAAGAATAAGAACTTTAAGACAACCGTGTCCGATTTTACCATAGGAATCAATATCGTATATAGGAGAGCCAGGAACACTACATAATCAAATGTACCTGGGCCAGCAACACAGAAGAGCCTTCACGCAACTAGCCATTGTACACGACTTCGAAGATCTTATACATTATTCTGTTATAACAAACTACATTAAATTTACTGATCTAAAATTGACTACTATTTTATTTCAAAACATTATCTTTCTGGATCCCTGAAGCGGCGCGTAACAGTATACCAAAATAATTAAACATATATTAAAGTATATATTATATATATTGAAATAATTAATTTTTACTTATTCTGAATACTTGTATTTGTACTTTCTATTCATTAAAAAAAAATAGTTTTTTCAGAACCAGAAAAATTATTAAAAATAATATATATACCTAATTTGAAATTAAATATTAATAAATGAATAATTAACTTTTCGTATTCTGAATAATAATGAATGAAAAGTATTCTTTAAGAGACTGGTTAGGTTCAACACCTTATTTAATGTCAATACTGGTATGTACTTACTAAAGACCTGCAAGGGCCGGGCCGGCCCAATTCTGTTATCATGGTTTAGGGCAGTAAAACTGCTTCGATTTTCTTCAACACTATCTTGTTCGATGGGAAAGTGAATCTAGTTGGTGTATTCGGGAGATCAAATTTTAAAATTCCCAATAGTTTTCACAAGCCCAGGGAAAAACAACATAAAAATTAAGGAAAAACGGGAATTTTTACTCAAAATCGGTTTTCCACAAAATCGATTTTGGTTTTTGGTGTAACTCCAAACAAATAAACGTATATACATGAAATTTTAGCTGGTTGTTTATATTTGAATTTTTAATAAACGATAAAATTTTCAAAATATTATGGTTTGTTTTCAACTGTTTAGGAACATTTTCATTTTCCACTTTTTTTTTTAGTTTTTTATCTAAAAATATCAATAAAATTTTATTTGTTGGTTAAAAAAGCTTGAAAATTTAATAGAAGGCTCCTAGTATATTGTTTCAAAGGCAAATGAAAAATATTAAAAATCCTCAGTTTTTTTATAAATATTTAAAGTTCAACAATTTACAAAATATCCAAAAATCACGAAAAGTAACAAATTATTTTGAGTTAAGAATTCTTAAAAATTTTTCTTTTTAAATCTAAGATTTGAAAATGTAATACAAGATTCCTTATAAGATTATCTACCTTTATCAAAAAAAAATGTGTATAAGAAAGTCAAATTAAATTTTTTTGAGTGTTTGAAATTCAAATTTTTATAACATTGGATATTCACTCGATTTCTCATGTAGCAATTTCCTTATTTTGTTGTAATTCAAAAATGAATAACTGTAGATAGATGAAAATTTCACTGAATGTTTATATTAGCATTTCCTATAAACCATACAATTTTGAAAATATTTTGACTCTTTTTGACCCAACACCTGACACGAAAAACGTGTAGTGATCCCTCACTAACGCTTATATTTTTGAGTTCAAAGACGTTGACGGTTGAATAGGAGAAAAGGTTGCAGAGACAAGTTACACAAGTTAGGTATAAGTAATTTTATTAACGTTTAAAAAGTAAATAATCACAATTAAGTGCAAGATAAATTTGAGGACAGAGCGAAAAGCATTTGCCCGAGAAGTTATAGTT